TGAAATTGCTGGCCTCAGCTCCTGGATCATGTTGGCATCTTTTGCTTCTTAGGGGGGCAGCTGCATTCTGCAAAACAGCACCGTGCACGTATCTTGATATGTAACCCTAGAAGGGGCCTTCTAAATATAAATGGGAGTTCTTTGCTGCCGTGTGAAGGGGGTCAGCCAGGCACTTAAACAACACATGGTGTGAGTTTCATCAGATTGCACAGCAAAAAAAAAAAAAAAAATTAAAATCAAGGGGACAACATGAAATGACATTCTTAGTGTGCCTCCCTGCAGGCACACCCAGGAGTTTACAGCTTGTGACTTGAAGATCAGCACTGGCTCTTCAATTTGTGCGGTTGCAACCACGATCCATAAGCAGTGAGGCTCCAGAAGTTGTTGTTTTGTTCCTGTATCTTTGGATATGGGCTCAGAGTGTGACCCGTGTTCTGCATTTCAGCCTGGAGATAGGTTGTGTCTGATTGCTGCCCCAGTGTCCATTGCTCTCGGGATCAGTCCAGATGCCTCTGCTGGAACAGTGTGAGCATCTCTTCTAGGCTCATTTCCCTACCCAGAGCCTACCTTGGTCTGCCAGTTATTTAAGATGGATTTTGCTACTGATTCGCCTCAGTAGGGGAGAGACAGGGTCATCTACCCAGTTAGTTTTTACTTTATATGCCTGTGTGTGCACATGCACTAGATGAGGCATTTAAAAGACTAGATTCCCCAAGGCATCCTTGAATAGACATGGAACCTACCCTGACACTGGAGGAGACACCTCCAGGCAGAGTCAGAGCCCCCAGCAGGCACAGGCTTCTGGCTGGCTTCAGCCCTTCAACCTGAAACACTACCTGGATGTTGGTTCCCTCTTGTAATCCTCCCATCTCCAACCTCATTTTCAACTATCAATGGGAAGGCGTGCAGTGTTGGAGCAGGGGAGGGGTGCAGTGGATTGGGAAGGATTTCTGTGTGCGCTCCCAATTTTCCATCTCCCAGGCACAACGGCGTGTTCTGCACACACAGCCAAGTGTGTGCAGCGTCCCTGAAATGGGAGTGAGCCTTTAAGGAGGCTGCCTGACTTCCTCTGCAGCACTCCCTGGCAGCCTGGCAAAGTGGGCTAAATTCAGAAGTGACCTAGAAGGAGGAAGGGGCTTGGAAACATCACTTGGTCAGTGTAAAAATGGAGGAACAAACCTGGAACCCCGAGGTAAAATGGAAGATCACAATAAGGAATTTAACCAGAAGGTTTCTGCAGTTAAATTTATCCAGTCCTGAACTCCAGGGTAAGTTCTGCTGCTGCACCCACCTAGCTCGTTCTCCACAGCACAGAATCTACAAGAAACACTTGCTCATGTGTCCTTTAAAATGTGATTTGTGGCATGTCTGAATTTGATCCACCAGCTCATGTCTGAGGATGGCTCCTCTGGGTTTGTCATATCTCACCGTAGGGCTGAGTCAGCTTTCACTTCACTTGCAGTGACTTCCCTCTGGCTAAATAAGCTTGGATCATGTCAAGGAAAAAGAACTTTGTCAGATATCAACTGATTCTTCAAGACTTTAAACTGCATGGTACGAGGTTTTAGGGCACTGCATTTCTTTTTGATACCCATTCTGAGGTAAGAGAAGGGGAACTCCACTGGAATTAAGGAATGCACACCAGAGCAGGCTGTGTGGTCACAGTGAGCCATGGCAGCCCTTTCTTCACATTTCAAGCAGTAGTCAGTGGGGGCTTAACTGCCTTTTGATTTTAATCAACGGCAGGAGATAATCCCAACAGTGAAAAGGAGAGATTCTGGCCTAAAGTACAGTGATTGGTGAGTGCCATCCCTCTCTTTTGGTGCCTGAAGGGTCTGTAAGGCCATTCATTCTTCATCCCATCTAATACAAGATATGCATTCCCCTAATACAGATCTCTCCTGACCTCAGATCCTGTTTGGTCCTTGCTCTCTTTTAAAATGAGTCAGCTGATGAAGAAAGATGGTAAGTGATATCTCCAAGGGTGTAGAATGACTCAGTAGGAACTTCCTTGACCCCTCAGCCCGAACAGCACCCAAAGTGCTCCGTAATGATTGTTAGAACCTTGACCAGGTCTGCTGAGTCTCCTCCTCTTATGAGCCAACAACCAAACTGCCTTAAAATTGATTTCTGAATAAGATGCTCTGTGTGAGATTTAATAGCCAGGCCAGGTCTAGTTTGCATTCAGTAAAGAAGCTAGGTGTGAGTGAGGAAAAAAGGAGCTGAGCTTTGCTTGAGCTGCTGTCGTGGTAACCAACAGAGACCACGTGGCTCTTCATATTCTGCAGGTGTTTTACAAGCATCTGCTTTTAAAACCCCACATGGCTCTAGGAGGTGGTGTAGCACAGTCATGACACCAGATAAAGCATTTAATCAATTACTTTTATCTTGATTTATGAGCTGTGAACAGTCCATATGTGGACTGTGGTTTGTTGGTTTTTTTTTTTTTTTTTTTAAGGTAATTTCTTATTCAGAATTACTCAGTTACATTTTCCCCTGATCCTTTTACCCCCCCCCCATGTTGGGAGTGCTTAGTGAGGGCTAAGCCTGAGTAACCTGTTGCTGTGTCTCCCATCTGAGAGATCTGGCATTTCAGAAAACCAGAGAGTTGTCGTGATAAATTATTTCAATGGCAAGTGACACTCTGACATTCTCACCAGGAAGTTAACCAGGAGCCTCATCTGTGACACATGTGGAAGTCCTGATGGAAAAATGTGAACCAGCTTCCCATGTTTCATCATCATCCAGAAGTAAGAGCAGGAAGGTTAAGACAGGTATGTCAAGGGGTAGAGGTAGAAAAGATATTTTGTAGTCTTCCTTTGGAACATGGAGGCTGGTCCTGGAGGGAGTAGAAGAGGGGGAGTTTTTATGGCCTTCAGGCTGGAAAGCATGGACGGAGGCAAAAAGTCACAGATCCTGTTAAAGGGAGGAGCAAAACTCCAGGGTTCCCAAAAACCGTGGGTGGATGAGCTCTGCCAGGCCCTTGTGGCATGTCTTTAGCTAATCTCTTGCTTCCCACATCTCCTGCATTAACAGCTGTGAGGGAATTGGGCTCCCACTCAAGCTGATGGGAGAAAACAGCACCCCAGTGACTGTGAGGACTGTGCTTCAGACGTGCCCGTGAGGAGGCAGGGGATGAATTAGTTTTCATGGTGTCATTTCATCCCACCCTCAATATTCACGGGCACCAGCACCTCACAAAATGAGTTATGTGCTGATTGCTCCAGGACTGTGCTACACCCACCAGTCACAGCGAGGGAAGACAAGAATTGGGGTTGAAAAGGAAGCAATCATGGGGAAAAGGGCGAGGAGGAGGCATTAAAAGGCTGAGATACCTGTGGACAGGACAGAGGCCATGGACACAGGAGACTCCCAAAGGTTTGGGCACTTAGCACACCACAGATCCATCACCATGTGGGGAGGAACCACCACATTTTAATACCAGACTTTAAACTGAATAATGCTTGTAACCTACCACAGACTGGTTCCCACAGCCTCATGAGCTATTAGCAGTCCTTATCCTGCAGTTTATTACCTCTCTGTGGTTCTTAGAAGTATCAATAACTATTGCAAAGAAGTAAGGGTGGGCCCCAAGTGAAGGTGGTGTTGCCTGCAACAGGTCTAATAACCTGGCTGCTGTGCAGATCATCACAATGGGCAAGAGATGGAGCCCTGCACTGCAGACACAGCCAGCACACAAGAGGTGTGTGCGCTGGTACTGGCCAAAAAAAGAACTTGGGGAGAACACAGCGACTGAGTTTGGAGACCAGGAATTTAGGAGCACTGAGCTGTGCGAAATACCCAAACCACAGCAGCTGCATTTTATAGCAGGGAGCTGTTCCAGAGGGGCTGGGGAAGAGCTGCCTGTACAAGTTGCCCTCGCACCCCTCTGGCAGGTTATCCCGTGCCGGGGTGTTGGACACACCAAAGACAGACGAGGAGCAGCTGTTCCTCAAAGCACCCGGCGGGAGCCAGCCCTGGGCCTGCCGTGGGGCACAGCAAGTCCGTCTGTGCCGGCAGAATGCTTCCCACAGTGTAACAGCGTTCCACCGGGACACAGTTCGACTTGGTGGGAATCCTTCTGCTCTGTCTGCAGGTCGCTTCTCCTGGTTATTAAGAAAAAGCAGCTTCAGTAGCTGCGATGCAGGGCATGTGCACTGCTCAGGTTTATGGGCTGCCCAGGGAGGTGGGGGAGTCACCGTGCCTGGAGGTGTTTGAGAAGAGCCTGGATGTGGCATCAGTGCCATGGTCTGGGTGTCAAGGTCGTGTGGGGTCACGGGTTGGACCTGATGATCTCAGAGGTCTTTTCCAACCTAGTTGATTCTGTGTCAGAAAAGTAGAAGAAAGACAGCGACAGCTGATGCAGAGCAAAGGGTAAAACGAGACAGTGTGATTGGGAATTCTTAGAGAAACACAGAAGCGTTATTTCACACGATAAACATTCATCACTTAAGGGCTCAGACTCCACCAGCGCTTCCTCGCGGGCTGGCGGTCCCAGCGCGCCCTGACCGCGGGGCTCAGCGCCCATCCAAGGCGCTGAGGGGACCTGCAATTCCCCCGCGGATCCACAACTCTCCTTGGAGAGAAGAGCCGTCCCCTGGCACCGGCAGGGAGCCGGGAATGGAGCCGGGAATGGAGCCGGGGGCGGAGCAGCGCCGGAACCCCCGCGCCGGGCTCTGTTCCCGGCGGCGGCCGCGGGCCGGGCCGGGCGGAAGCGGAAGGGCCGCGGCGGCGGGAGCGGCGCGGTGCAGGGCCGCGGGGCCGGGAGCGGGAGGGTCCCGGTCCGGGCTGTGCTGGCCCTGCCCCGGGGCCGCCGGTCCGGGCTGTGCTGGCCCTGCCCCGGGGCTGCCGGTCCGGGCTGTGCTGGCCCTGCCCCGGGGCCGCCCCCGGCGGGGCTGGTTGCCTGCGGGAGCCGCGCCGCGTACGGGCGAGGGGACGGGCCACGCGCACCCGCGTGGGGCGGGAGGAAGGGCTGGGAGTCGGGCGCGTTCTGCCTCTGCCGGGGAAAAGCGGGGAGCGGAGGGAGCGGCTGTTCCCTCCCCAGGGCGGTAGTCACGGCCCCGAGGCTGCCAGAGCTCAAGTTGCTCACGTTCCAACGCTCTTGGAGCATCGTGGGGATTTTGGGGTGCCCTGTGCGGGGCCAGGGGTTTGACTCGATGGGCCTCGTGGGTCCCTTCCAACTCGGTGTATTCTGTGTTCAGAGACCCTCTCGGCACCCTCGGCGGGCGACACCCGAGGTACCGTTATTGTGGCCAAGTGACGGTTTTGTTTGGCTGGTTTTGAGGCGTCCTGACAGAAAGTTCTACTGATGTTCCAGGTGGTGTGGTGGAGTGTTGTGTCCAGGGTGTGCAGAGGGCAAAAAACCACTTTTGTGCTGCTGACAGAGACCAACTTGGCCACTTTCTAGAGCGAACCTGACAAAGTGCTCTAGTATTGAACTGTAGCACATTGTGGAGAGTAGTTAAAATTGCCACTTAGTGTCTTTGTCCTGAGCGTGGGATCATTTTACAGTGACACCTCTTCGGGTTAATCAAGTTTCTGAGGCTCTTCAGCTCAGAAGCGCAGCCCAGGCCCACTGATGAGTTTGCTCTCCTGCCTGCTGGTGTTCTGGCTTCGACAGTAACCTGTGTTAACCTGGCTTTTCCTGCTCTCTTAGGTCCTTGAGCATGGGGAACACGAGCAGCGAGCGGGCGGGGCTGGAGCGTCATGGGCACAAGGGAACCCGAGGGGACGGCGCGGGAGGAGCCAAGGAGGGGGAGCGGCCAAAGATCCTCATGGACAGCCCTGAGGATGCAGACTTGTTCCACTCGGAGGAAATGAAGGTGGTTTGTTCTTGTCTTTCAGCGTTACTGGCTTGGCGCTGCTGTCAGCTGTGGGGCTGTTTGTTACCGATCTGCAGCGATTCTGTCGCTGAGTTTACACCAAACAGAGCATCCCCCTTGCTTCTCATGCCAAGGAGAGAGAGGGCACTGATAATGAGTGCAATAGCATGGTTTCCTGCAAGAACTGAAGGTAGAAAAACTCAAATGTAGCTGGCTCAAAGCTCGAAGGACCATGCCCCAGCTTCCTTTGAATCCTTCATGCCTTCATGCCATAACTTCATGCAGTTACCAGTGACATTTTACCTGTCTATTGTTTTCCATATCAAAAGATCTGTTATTTTTTTGCTCAGCATTAGACGGGTTGTTAGAAATGTCTCGCTGCATCTCATGTTTCATAAGAACATCTAACAGAAAATTACACTTAGATTTTGGCTGTTGGACAGAAGTGTTGTCTACAGGCAGCTCGTGGTATTCTTGCCAGCTCTTAATTCTGTGCCTAATATTCTAAATACTTCATAAGTATTTCTCCTTATTTTTCTTCCTCTTCTTATGTCTGTGTATTTTGAAAGCTTTGGTAATCTCAAGTCATTTCTTTTTAACCTAACTGGGGCTGGAGGGAGTGGTATTATTTTGCCCTCCAGTCTTTCTGCAAATTTGGGAGGCTTTAGCATCTTTGCAGAATTTGTCCAAATCAACTTGTCAGCTGTATCTCGAAGTACAGTTTATATTCTCCATCTGACAAAAACTACTTTTAGGAGAACTTTCACCTTAGAGAATTGTGCCTGAGGGCAAAAAAAGCCTTCAGTACAACAGGTTGTCTAAGTGTTCCAGGAAAGAGTTCCTTCTGATCCAGATGTTGTGTTTTCAGGCTCCACTGGAGAAAGAAGAATTTCTGGCTTGGCAGCAGGACCTGGAGGTGAATGATAAAACCCCCACTCAAGCTCGGCCCACGGTGTTTCGCTGGACTGGAGGAGGGAAAGAAGTTTATCTGTCAGGGTCCTTCAACAACTGGAGTAAAATTCCTCTGACAAGGAGGTAACAAACTGCTGCTGCAGTGGTGCTCCCCAGGGACTGGGAGAGCTCAGTGCTGTGAGAGAGGTGGTCAGTGGATACAAGGATTGTGCTTGGATTTACTGCTCCTGAAGCTGTGATAAGAGCCTGCCTTTTTGATGCTCAGATGGCACAGGAGGAAGTTGAGCTGTGTGTCAGTTTTAAAGGAGTGATTTGTTCACTGGGCACCACACAGGAATGACCCAGACCAGTCCCTGTTGTGCAGTCTGTGCCTGGGGTGGGGAAGGGAAAGCTGGCTCTAAGCACAGTGTCTCTGATGACACCTGTGTGTCCTTGCCATATCAGTGGCCTTTTTCCAACTCCAGAGGTCCAGGAAACTCTGAGCCTGGGACACTGCACAAATGAGAGAATAAATCCATAGTAAGGTCCCAACTGCTTCTTCCTGCCAGACAGCTCTGGAGCTCTGCTTATTCAGTACCTGAATAAGTATTTCATTTACAATAATGTGGTGATTTTTTTCAAAAATTTAAAGCTTAGTGTGGGGCAGAGAGTCTGAGTGTGCTGTTGATCTGAGCCCTGTTGTCTGAAAACAATGACATATCCATGAAAGACTGATCTGCCAGGTCCTGGTGTGTCGTATCTCAGTGAGTGGCTGCCTGCACTGTCATTGGTGCAGAAGGGTCTTCATTTCTTAGGAAAGTTGAGGGAAGAGCACTGTGGCCTGATATAACAGCATGGGAGGATTGTTCTGTGCATGTGAAATAAATCATTGAGAGAGGAGCTGGAAGAAAGGCCAGTGGAACATCAGTATTGCTGTCATACTCTTTAGTGGAAAGCCTGGGAGACAGGAAAGGGTGAAATGAATATGGAAGAAGGATAAAAATGTTTCTTTACCAAAAAGAAAAAAAAAAGGAAAAAAAAACCACAACAGGTTTGTCTGTTTCTGTTGTCAGATTATGCATTCTGGGAAAGGAGGTGTTTGTACCTCTTTAGAGGCTGGATAAAATCACATTACTGAACCCAGTACACTTAACTAGAAGAGCTTGTTATTCCAAACTGTTATTCCCACGTCCTGCTCTGTGGTGGGGTGCTTGCACTCCATACCTGAGCAGAAGGGAAGTGGCAGTTGAGCATCAGGGAGTTCACAGCACAGGGGTAAATTGCCAAGCAGCAGCTCTTCAGCCCCAGAGTAACTCAGAAGTATCGAGTTGCTGCTTTTATCCAGTCATTGTTCATGTATTTCATAGGCATTTGGGAAATGCAATTTATGGTGGCAAACACTGAAAGGGAAGGAAATAGGAGAAAGCTGATCTTGTTCCATCAGCAGGAGTCTCACAGATAAAATGAGGTCTCGTGTACTAACAAGTAACATGAAGATGTGAGGGTGACTTTACAAAAGCTCAGTGCCAGTTACTTGATGTCAGGAGTGTGGGGGAACTTACTGTGACTGAGGAAATTATCATTAATGATAATATGATTCTTTACCTTTAGATTGCAGCAGAGATTCTCTTAAATGTGGCACTGCCTTTTTAGGGGTTTGCACGTTACGGAGGCTTGTGCTCTGTGTCACGGTGTGTGTCACAGTTTATAGACTGTGTACTTTTCAGAACCTTTCAGGGCTGATTGTTTGTCTTAAATTCCAGTCACAATAACTTTGTGGCCATCCTGGACCTGCCAGAAGGAGAGCACCAGTACAAGTTCTTGGTGGATGGGCAGTGGACACATGATCCTGCAGAGGTAACCTTTGCTTTGAGTCACTGGTTATTGGTTGATGCACCTGAGGATGAGAAACTGGCTGGTTTCTCTCCCAAGAGCTGGTCCTTTCAGAGAGGAGGCATCAGTTAACAGCAGAAACTGGCTGTTCAGGCTGGTGAGAGAGAGGCTTCTGATCCCAGCCGGACTGGTGGCAGCATCAGACTGAACCTCAGAAGGCAGGAGATGTAACAAAAGAGGGACAGGATCTCTTGGCCACTGGTCTATAAGTGATGCCAAGCTTTTCTTGCCTGGTGCCAAACTGCCTTTTAGAGCACTGTAGCATTGCTGACAGCCCAGGTCTCGCTGTGCTGCACTGGCTCTCTGTGCCAGGATGTTGCTATTGCTGCTTTAGTAGTCCAGAAACTGTGCCAGAATTTACCAGGCCTGTTCTTCCTCCTGTGCTGTAAAATGAGCTGTGACCCCAGCCCACCCAGCAGTCCCCACCTGCTTCAGAGCTCTGCAGTCACACCTGCTGGTTCCTTCTTGCTGTCTTGGCAAACCTCACAGAATTTACCTTGCAGTGCACTCAGCTCTTTCACCGCCCTGCCTTGGACTCCAGCCTTAGCTTTGCAGCAGACCAGCAGCACCAGCCATCCTGTGTCCTACATCAGGCCTGGCAGGTCTCAGCCTGGCTCCATGAGCCCTGGAGGGCTGGAAGTGAAGCTCAGCTCCTGCTGTCACTGGTGACTTCAGCCCAGACCTGACCCTCTCCTTGTCTGTAGCACTGACCAAGTGCTGTGGGCCTGGCAGGTTCAGCTGGCATTTTTCCCTCCCAGTCCTTAATCCTGAAACTGAACTCTTTTCATATCTGGTTCCATCATATTTTAAAAGCAATAAACCTCATCTTTGGTAATGCTGATTGTGTAGTTGTGACAATCCAATAGTCCCCCAAGCTTTTTTTAATTCTGATTTTTTTTACCTTATCTCTTCCCAGCCAGTAGTAACCAGCCAGCTGGGTACTGTCAACAACATCATCCAGGTGAAGAAAACTGACTTTGAAGTATTTGATGCTTTGATGGTGGACTCCCAGAAATGTTCAGACATGTCTGGTATGAGCTTACTGGTAATTTTATATCACACTTCTTAGAGCTGTTAAAACTTTCATTTTCCTGTTTATCTGGAGTTAAAGCTCCAGTACAGATTAATTTGCACTTGTGTCAGGCCCCGTGGATGTGAGCAGGAATCACAAATCACAAAGAATGTGGAATGCACAGAGAGACTCTGACAGAGCAACACAGGTCACTGTAGATCTGATGAAGAGGGGGTCATTGGTGCTTAATAACTGTTTCTTTGCTCCTGCAATGTGCAGTGGGTGGTTTTAGGGCACTCACTGGTGAATTAGTCTCTGCTTTACCACATTAAACCCGTGCTGACAGCCTACATTGCTCCTAATTCCATCTTTCTCTGCTAAGGAAGTGGCTGAGGGGGTCAGAAGTTGCACATTAAGAGTGAGAAATTAGGTGCGTTTAGCAGTGCTGACACAGGCTCGGGAATGTATCATGTTCTCACAGCGTAATAAAAGTTATCTGTATCTTAGAATAATACAAACATTTTTTTTGTCCTAAGTTTCATCTTCCAGTGTAACAGGCAGAATTTAGTTTGAGCCATGTCTGAGCTCAGCCTTGTCACCTGTTTGGTACAGAGCTCTGTAGGGATGGAGACCATGACTTACATCCTCCTTTGAGCCTGAGGCAGGAGTGGTCGGTGTGTGGTTGGTTTTTGCCCTGGACAAAGGCTTTTTGGAGAAAGTGTTATTTGTGAGACAAAGCCCAGAGGAGATTCTATAGGTGCCTTCCCCCCACGTTGCTGGAACAGCATTTCCTTAGGCTGGTTTAGACTCTGCAGGGCTCCTTCCATACCCTGTCTCTGTACAGGAGGAGCAGTTTCCTTTCTAGGTACATCCCGTTTTTGTGCTTCCCTCAGAGATAACGTAGAGCAGCCTGTGCACTGTGGAGTGTTTGCTGCAGAAGTGCTGGGCAGGGATGACAGAGGAGTTCAGGAGTGCAGTCAGGCCCTCAGAACTCTGCTGCCCAAATCCTCACAGCTCATTTCAGGTCAGACTTTGGGCATCTTAAATCTCTTGGGCAGTGACTGATCCTCTGGCACCGCACCAGTGGCTGCAGTTGTTGTACTTAGGTGCCATTGATTTCTCTTGGCCACATGTACCTATACAGAACAGATATTCTTACAGACTATTTAAGATTAAATATTTACCATCTCTCTGGCAGAGCTGTCAAGTTCACCCCCAGGACCGTATCACCAGGAGCCCTATGTTTGCAAGGCAGAGGAGCGCTTTAAATCACCCCCCATTCTCCCCCCACACCTGTTGCAGGTCATCCTGAACAAGGACACGGGCATTTCTGTGAGTACTTCAGTTTGTTTTGCTGAATAATGGCCTTGAGGGTGGAAACAGATGGGGAAAAAATCTGGGAACAGACAGGAGACAGCTTAGGAAAAACCTTAGGATAGTTGCCACTTTGGTAAGTTTCTTATTATGTACGTCCAGATGGATTCATCTGAAGTAAATTTATTTTTCTACTTGACTCTCTTCAAAATTGAAAACCAGATTGCCGTTTTTCTCCCAAAACCTTAATCTTCTGGACTGTTAAGATGCCAGAAGCACACAGGAAGTGTTTGTTTCGTGGTCATGGTGAGGACGCAGAGGGTTTCACCCTGAGGGCTCTTGGGTTGTTCTGAAGCAGTGACTGTGTTTGTGGTGGACTCAGGGTAAGCAGCAGGGATGTACTGGGGGTATGGCTGGTTACAGACAGCGTTTGTCACCCTTCAGCTCTGGTGAATGAACTGGGAGTTCTGTTATTTTCACGCTGTCTCCCTTTCTCTTCTTCCCAGTGCGATCCCGCTCTGCTCCCTGAGCCCAACCACGTCATGTTGAACCACCTCTACGCGCTTTCCATCAAGGTGAGAGGCCCGGGCGCGTTCCCCTCGTGGGCAGATTTAGTTATCCATGTCACACGCTCACTTGTTTTCCATCTCCTAGGATGGAGTGATGGTGCTCAGTGCTACACATCGTTACAAGAAGAAATACGTGACTACTTTGCTCTACAAGCCAATATGAGCATCGTAGTTGTTTGTGACCAATCGTTCTGGGCCAGTGCAGTCTCAGAAAAAAATGCTTCACTTAACCAAACATACTTCTGCTCTGTGCTGTAGCAAATGAACTCTGATTTCATATTGTTTCTGAGACTTCCAGGTTCTCCTGTATTTGCCTTATTTTCCTAGTACCGCCTTGGAAGTTCTTGGAAACGGCAGCTTCGTGGCAACTAGACAGGTGGCAAAGGTGTCAGTGCCCGTTGTCAGCTCAGTTAAAAAACCACCAGTTTAATTAGGCTGAAAAAGGTGAGGGCAGCAACAGATCAAAGAGCTTTAGCAGAGAGGCAGACTCTGAGTCTGTCAAGCCCAAAGTCTAGAAAGTTCAGGATTCTTGTGGAATCTGAGCATAACACTCAGCAAAAGCAAGCTTATTACTGCTTCCATAACTCATCAAACACAATCATTTCAGTAGCAAGTTTCAAACTTGCATGGCTGAAGTAAGTGTGAATATTGATGATCTGTTTTTGTAGCAGCCTTTTCTGGGCAAAATCAGCAACATAATCACCTACAAGCTCGTTATGATTTTGCGGTAGACTGGGGTGCACGGTTTCTACTGTGAATAGCTCTGTAGTTTTTCTCTTCAGGAGAACTGAAATACTTTTCCCCTGTGGAATTTCTGGTAAAGATAATTGTTTTTAATGGCTGGATTTTTCTGTAAATCGTCAGTGTGTCTTGGCAGTAATCTGCTTTTTGAAACTGGTTTCTCTTGCTGTCACTGATGAGGACTTCCCTAAGCTGGGATAGGTGGCTGTAAGGAAATGGATGGATTCAGTTTAGGAATTTGTTCCTCAGTAAGAGCCTGAAGGTGACTGTAATGTCCTGTGTCCCAGTGGCCAAACTTGCCCCTCAGTGTCTGCAGTTGCAGCGTGTTGGCTGCAGCAGCACCACAGCCCTCTGTGCCAGGGCTGGAGCTGGGCAATTTTTTATTTTGTTCCTGTTTTCTGAGTGATCATAATAATGCCAGGCTGCCTGTACTTGATACTCACAGCCTGTTTTATCCCAAAACAAATGCAACACTAATGCAAACCTGCTGCCAGTGTGCCCCAGGCCCGCCCGGGGTGGGCCCTGCTGGGCCCTTCCCTCGGCTGGTGTTGGTGCCTGGGGCACCGTGACTGTGCCAACGATAACCAGCCCCGTCCCACTGTGGGGGAGAGCCCCCTGCACAAATCTGTGAGGAGTCTGAGGGGCCAGAGCTGCAGCAGAGTGGAGCCAGCCACAGCAGGAGGCTGGTTTGCCATCCTGGGGTCTGTTCACCAGCCTGGTTGCAATATCTCCTGTAGCAGAGTTAGACCTGGGTCCAGTGCAATGGTTTTCTCTGAAAACTCTTCTCTTCATTCTGTGCTATGGATAGTATTTGGTATTCTGAACTACAGAATTGCTTTTGTTTTCAGCCTCTTTAGACACAAATAAAACATTTTCAAGAGAAGTGGGTGCCTTGCTGTGTTATTACCCTTCCCATCTTTGGTAACCTTACCTTCCATGAGTGGTTATTTTTTCATAACCTGTGCTTGCCTGGTTGCAGTTTTATACCTCAGTGGGTTGTGCAAGCTTTTCATTCAGAGATGCAGCTTTAAGCACTTTCTCCACTTAGTGAAGAAGACAGAGGTGTTGGTGTTTATTTGTGATGCAGGGGAACTTTTTCAGCTGTGTTCACAGAAAGTAGCTGTGAGAGTGTATTGGCAGAGAGAAGTCCTGCAGGGAGGCCTCTTAAATGCTTTCAGTGCCTGCAGGGAAATGATAGCACAAGTTTCTTGTTTGAGTGACCCTGAACTAATTTTTTCTGCTAGAAGAAAAGCTTAGCAGTAGCTTAATAAGTTTGGGTTGTTTTTTTTTTTTTTTCTAGTTATGAAAGAACTTTTTCACATATCAGAGACTAAAGGAGCTGAAACCTGGAGCCGTGGAGAACAGAAAGGCAGGTGAAAGCATGCACGACTGAAGTGTTTAGGGATTCAGGCTCATTAATTCTGGCTAAGCTTTGTGGATTTTTTCCAATTCCATATATGCATGACTCACTCCAGGCTCTTATCAGTGCTGGTGTGGTGGAACCACAGCATGGAACCAATTATTTTGTAGAAAGCTTGTTGCCTTTTTTTTTTTTTTTTTTTAATTTTAATTTTTGCTTTGCAGCCTCTTGCCCTGTCTCAGCTGGCAGAGCACTGGGTACAGAGGCTGCAGCCACCATCGGCTTTTGCAGCCCCAAAAAAGCTGTGTGGGGGGCTGAGCCCAGGGTGGGGGGCCCAGGCTGTGTGACCAGCAGCTGCCTCACAGGAGTGATGATCCATCAACGCTTCCACCCTTCCCTGCCCCTGGAATGAGTGAGCCCAGCTGTCCTCAGGCCCCGGGCCTCTCCAGCCAGGGGCACCAGGTGGTGGAGGTGAGATGTTCCCTGGTACCTGTGTCCTCAGGTGACATTCCCAGGAGCCAAACCCTTCCTCAGGCAAGCCACAGCCTCCCCTCAGCCCCACCCCGATCCCCTTTCTCTCCACCAGGAGCATCTGCAGGAGAGCAAAAGAAGGAAGAGGTAAAAGCTGATTTTATTTTTTGTTTTGCTGGGGGGGGTGGGTTTTGGGGTCTTTTTATTGGTTTTTGCTAGGTTGTTTTCTGCTTGATGGGTGAATGAATTAATCACTCTGTGTTCCCTTGTTGCAATGGGATGAATCAATTCCCTCCAAAGGCAAAAGCTGGATCAAGAGTTGGATTTATTAGCTCACTTACATTCCCCACCCACAGCTCACAGTCTGTGCTGTTATGTTTATTCTTGGCTGTTGCTAGGAGAGCACATTTTTTAAGGTAGATGCAGAGACTTTTGTAACAGTCACTTTTGGGGACTCTGGAGTAAACCAGTACAGAAATAACAAGAGCTCCCTGCCCTCCCCGACCCCCTGAATGTCAGCACAGCCTGGAGGGGTCAAGCTGACATGGATTTGTGCAGGGTTTTTGGGAATCAAAAGGCTCAATAAATAATAATTGGTTTTTTTACTCCACCAGTTTCTGGATTAGTTTAGGTTTGTTACAATTCGGATCATGCACCATAGGACTGCAACAATGAGCTTTAAATAAGTATTCTTTGTGCACAGTAAAAGAAAGAAAGGAACATTGAACAAGTCAGCATTTCATCATATACATCATAGTAGGCACAATAGATAAATCAAGCAGCTCAGGGTTTATGGAGAGCATTTCTCATGGAGAATGTCATGTAGACCAAAACGTAAGAGGAGCCATCAGTAACCCACCCCCACAGCCTCCAACAAGCCCTTTATCAGGGCTGAGGGGGTGGGTATGTGCACAGAACCAAAAACACTGAACAGTAGGAGGACAAATTAAGTTACTGTAGGCAGCAGTGTGAATATTAAAAACCTCTTCCTGTGAAAGAATACTTCAGACCCTGTAAAAACTGGTTCAGTTAAAAATAGATGTATTTACATTTAAGTCTGATCTAGCAAGTTTTCCCAGCAGGTGTAAGTTGAGCTGTACAGTAACTCTGCAGGTTGTACTCAATCTGACTGGATTTGTGAATGGTCTTTTTTTTTTTTTTTTTTAAAGTTGCAGTATTAGGCCTTAAAGCACCAGCATGTTACAGCAGTGGGATGAGGAACTGTTCTGTCCACTTTGCTACCAGGACGGTGCTGGGATAAATCCCAAACCTGACATCAGATCACACTATTGTTAATTAAGATGTTTTTTCCAGCTCAAGATGCACGGGGTCATTTAGCAGGGCAAGACTGTTTTCCCAGATACTCACACGTGTTTTACCTCTACCCCTCTCACTGGTGAAGCACATGAGGGCAGGATTTAGCTGTAGGTGTTGGCAGCTGACTGCTGCTCTAGTAAAGTACTTGGATAAATCCACCTGTTTTAGTCCATGTGAACATGCTTGGGGTTGGTGAAGCCACTTACAACTACTTGTTGAGGGAATGATGAGTATTAAATGCTAAATATTGCCAGGGTCAGGTCTCAGGTCAGCTGTGACACCCGTGGATTCCCCAGCCCGGGGGCTGGGAGGGGGCAGGATGGGCAGGGGGACTCCAGGGAGAAGGAAGCCGTCATTTCACCATGCCAGTCAAGATAGTTATTTGTTTTATTTGGTTATTGTTCAACAACAAAGTTCAATACTTTCCAGGTGGAGCTTTGAACTGTCCCTCTGGTTCCCTCCCTTGTCAATAATAAAAAGGTAATGAAGAAAAATCCTGTAATTTTAGAGACCTAAAACCTCATTTATGCTAACAAGCTTCGATTGCAAGTTAATGTTACAATATTTCTTCATGGGAGCGAGGAGGACTGAGCTGAGGCCCCTCCAGTGTCTGAAGATGGCTGTCCACAACCACCAGTAAAACAAAAAGCTAGTGTTGAAAAACGCACAGTTTACAATAAAAAAGTAGAAACCAATTCAATTCCCTTTTGTTACGAATATAAAGATTCTTGTAAATATGTACAGTCCTTTGAGCTATTTCTATAGCAGGAAGCATTTCACGAACAAGACACAAGATATACACTTTCAGGACTCAACAAGCCCATTTCTGAGGTCTTGAAGATCTTCCATGAGATGCAAAGATTTAAAGACTGATCTCTGTGACCTTTCAAAATATTCAGACCAGGAGACAAAAACTTTCAGCAAGTTTCCTGCCGAATCATCTGATTGAAAATAACCCAACAGACAAGAGAACGGAATACAATATCCATGAAACTCGCCAAAGGACACTGACAAGGCATTGGAATTTTGATGGGTTTCTAGAACAGGTTAGCACAGGCTTGCAAGGGACTAGCAGAAGTTTTAAGTGTGGCGCCAAGGGCAGATTGGATGCAGTTTTGCTCTTTCCAGTTGTAAAGAACATGGTTGTTCACTTAGGATGTTGCTATTGCAGGGTGAATGGTCAAAAACCTGCTTTGAAAATCATTTGCTCTCTGCTTCATGTTCACAGCAAAAGAGAATAGGAAGCAATAAAAGGCTCGAGGTCAGACAGGCGGCAGCGAAGGTGTGTCAGCACCTGCCAGAGCTGCTCCCTGTGAGTGTCCTGTGCCACCACACCACATCTTATTGTAGGACAAGCTACAGCTCACGGGAGGAGCCAGCCCAGGCCGGCAGGACTCATTGCTGAAGGGCCCGTGTCCAGTGCTGAGAGGAGAACACAGGGGTGACTGTAACTCTTGTCATAGAATAAGGCTTGTTAACTCTTCGTTGCCAAATTTCCAGAGTACCGGTTATTTTGCAGCGTAATCTAAAGGTTTCGGTTAATTTACAAGTGAGGTACAATACACTACTCAGCAAAGCAACCTAAAAGGAGAGAGCAGCCAGTGATGGTGCAGCAGCATGCAGTGAACTGTCATGCAGAAGACCGGGATAAAGTCTTACAACCCAGTAGCTTATAGGTAATGCACTTTGTCTCAGGGCCGGGCAGGGGGGTCGGTTAAAGCAGGGATCTTCCCTCCCCATCAGAGCTGCTCTAGAGCAATTTTAGTGAGAACAAAATAACTTTCAGAAGTGGCAGGTGAACAGACTAATCAGAAGTAAATTTTCTCGTGTTCTGTGGAGAACATCCAACCACAGCTCCTATTGAAAGACTCACTCACCTTGGCCCTTCTGTTTCCAGGCCATCGGGGGCTCCCAGCACGGCTCAGAACTGTGCCCAACTCTCTGGTGAGGGGTGCTAACCACAGTAACCACCTGGGGCGGGACACTGGTCCCATTTCCTTGATGATCTACTAGGGACTAAAGTGGATACAAAAAGTTCATGAACTGCTTGAAAGAGTAACAGTAGTACAAAGTGCAAAAACAGGAGTGCAGGAAAGTGCAGAGAAATCAACTGAGCTGCGAACGATCTTCAGAAGCGCCACGGCTCCCGCTGCGGAGCGAGCTTTGGCCCAGGAATGCTGTTTGGGAGCTGGGCAGCAGACAGATGGAGTGCATATACTCAGTATATTTCCTTTTTTTCCTGCAGGTCAAGATGAGTAACTTTGTCTAGCTGAGACTTACACTGAAGACTGGTCCCAGACCTGGCAGGGAAATAAAACCACAGTTACAAGTCACAGACGTTTCTCTCCCAGGCACGAGGTGCGAGCAGCAGAACATCACCTGCCGCTCCCCTGGAGCCAGGACACAGTCCTGCCTCCTGCCAGGGGGCATCATCCATTAACACTGACAGGCAGGCACTGGCAGCACCACTCTGAGCACAGCAGGCCCAGATATTAACCCCCTTCAAATCCTCTATCACTTGATTTCTGTGGGTAAAAGCACCTGTTCTAGAGTCAAGCAGCATTTGCAGTCACAGAACTGGCCCAGGGAAGATGGTCACAGGGCCAGTGAGTGACACCACGTGGGCTCTGTTCTAACAGAATTTGAGGAGCAGAGGGGTGAGATTTGGTTTGCTCTCGTACTTCCCAGTCCCCCCAGCCCTCCTGCGGTACGAACAAGCCTTGTCCTGAGAGCAGAGAAGTTCTCCAGGCTCCTGACTTACCTTATTGACTTGAGCCAGAGGAGTTCTGGCACCACTCACAGGCATCCTGCCTCGGCTGCTGTCCTCGAACAGCCGGCCCGGGGAGCGCTCCCTGCGGGTGCTCAGGAGCCGCCCGGGGGATTTCTCCCTCTCCAGGGGTCTCCCCGGGGATTTGTCCCTGCGCAGCTCGGTCCTGCCCTCGCGGTACCGGTGGGGTGTGCTTGGCTCCCGAGGGTGGCCGGGCCCTTCCGGGGGGCCTGGGCTGGAGGCCACGCGCTTGGTGATGTGCTCATTGTAGGTGGGGGGGCCTCTCTTGTTGGGGCTGCTGTCATTCAAAAAACAAGGCAGGGGAACAGCTGAGTGACAAAAACCTCTGGTTACGTTTTCTTTTGGCAAAAATGTAACTTTCCCCCATAACGCGCCCAGCAGTGCTCAGGTGAAAAGCCTCAGCATCAGCCCTCATTGCAGAGATACTTTGGCAGCTGAGTATCCATCAGTGACCCACACTGGTCAAGTGCCTTAAGGAATTGCTGATCTAAGTCCTGTGTATGGAACAGGCCAGAAAATGACACCTTTTCATACATGTCAGCCATACACTTCTCATATAAAAATACAATAAAATTCGATATATTCATTTTTGCACTCGGAATTTTCTGGGGTGTTCAGGCCAGCTTGGGATGAGCTACAAGCCTTGATTTCTCTGTCTCCTGTGCACAGGGGTACTACCAGCCCCAGTATTTATTCACCTGTCTGAGATATCACTGTTCTGCTGTATCACATCACAACTTCCCAACGCCGTCTCCCTAAGGCAGACTCATTATTTGACAGGAAGGGACTCATTATTTGACAGGAAGGGACTCTTGCTTTGGAGCTTGTTACAGCCAACCCATGTCTAGTGTCATTTCAACAGCATCTGAGGTCACCAAGCTTCAAAGTCAGAGCTTGATCACAACATCAAAGCAAACCAGCAGAAGATCACAAAGCATTTGTGGAGATTATCCCCATCTTCCTAGAGAGATGAAGTTTTTTTCCCTTCTGGGTTTTAAAACACCAGTGGCTCTATTCCAGCATTACAGTAACAGGCTCCATCTCCAAGAACAGAACAAGGGGATCCCACCCCGTCAGGGGTGAGGTTTGCTCACGAGGCACTGGGACACCCTGACGTCACCGTACCTGCGCGTGGCAGAGGAGCCTCTGTGGTGCTGCTGCTGCTCGTTGTTGGTCTCCTTCACTAGATTGCCCTTACAGCAGATCACCCTTAACTTGTCCTGGTAGGAGGAGGCCAAGTAGATGGCTCCTGAGGAGATGGCAGGCCCGAGGTACCGCGGGTTTGGTATCTCCAGGTGGGCTCGTGCTGGAGTTCTGGGGAAAATTGCAGGAAAAGTCTTTACAATGGCAATGGTTGCCTTTTCCTGGCAAGTCCACGTATTCTGCACCACAGGCTGTTCAAAGGGGTGGAAAGAGAACAACTTACCCTAGAGCAGTTCGTGCCTGAATCTCGATCACTTCAAGGGAATTGAAGTGGGTCACGAACAGATAGGGCTCCCTGTAGGCTGGAGGAGCAGCACAAAGACAGGAAAAAACACAAAATAAATTCTCTATTAAAAACTTCTAAACCACATCAGCGAGTACAAGAGAGCCTGACAGCCCTCTGGGAAAACTGGGGAATACAGACACCGTCACTAAGGGGGGAGATGCAAGCTCAAAGAATTGTTGCTTTGAAACTGTGTCTCAAGGACTTTACTAACCAAAATATCATGAAAAAGACATTAAAACCAGACTATTAACTGAAAAAAATCCCATTAGGCTGCACGAAAAGCCTGAGGGAACCACACTGCCATCATATGTTCTTGACTATTTCAGAAACTTGCAAGCATCATTAGAAATTCCACTAGCCAGTTCAGTCAGCGTCAGACTAGGAACATTAGGGAAATGTAACTTCAGAAGGTTTTGCCATCCGGATGAGCTTAAATCGTGGGGAAATCTCCACAGTTTCTGGGAGAATTGGGAAAGCGAGAAGGAAACAGAAGTGCTGAGTGCAGAGAACCCATCCCACGGGGATGCTTCCCGGTTTCAATAACTCCACAATCCAAGTGACTGCCCCCCAACACCTACCAAAAGCCAAGGGCAAGCGGTTCCACTTCAGGTCATCTGTCCTGCTGCGTCTTCCATAGGAATCCACAAAGACACCAAATTCTGCCGAGGAAAGTCATGTCACGAGCATGTGTCATTACTGCCTTACTTTTGAAGGGACAGAGGCAGTTGCCCCAGGCTTTTCATCAGGGACAAGGGGCAGAGATTATCTTGCACATCCTGGAGTGCCGTGAATTACTCTAATTGACATGGAATTGGTGAGATGTAGGAATATTGTCAGGCCAAAGGGTGCTGCAGTTCTGGGGCTCTCTGTACTCATTAAGGTAAGGCTATTATTCAATTTGCAGACTCCTACCATTAGTCACCCAGAATTACTGCTTTTGAAGCCTTCCTGTGCATTGCCATGCCACGATCCAAGAGGGCAACAAAAGCAGCTATACAAAAAAAACACCCTCTCTTATTTCCTCACAAGAAGGTCAAAAAGTCTCATCTGTCCGCACAGAAACCAGACAGAGCTCAGGTCTGAGAACCCCTGAACATTTATCAGGATAATCAAACACTTGTTTGCACTTAACACCACTGACTGCAGTCCTTCCTTCAGGCACAGTCTACGTGCAGCAACTGATCCACAGCAGGGAGAACTTT